TTTCTACTTCTTCTCTGGTTTTCTCTCCCCTTTCTCTCCAGCCATTTCCCCCTTCTTGCTGCCTTCTTCTTCTTCTCACTGGAATTCTACCTGCTAGTTGTGCTATTTTGCTATTTCTAATTATTCTGCAGGAATCATCCCTCATCCTGCATCACCAAGTGTGATTTGCTTTCCTAGCTGCTAATTCATCATTCATAGCTTTTCTCTAGTGTTCATGTTGCACTGCCTAGTGATAAAAATGTGGCTCCAATGTGGAAGATATATTAAAGAGAAGAGCATTATGTGAAGTGGAAAAGGCTTTATAGGACAAAGATTTTGATAAAGGATACAGGGAATTCCCCTTGGGAGGTGTGCTATTGGTTATTAGGTTACAATGAAAATCCCTACGGTAAGAAGGAGCTTTGTGCATTCAACTGCATCTTCTAGGTATAGTTGAAAGGGATTGAGTAGAGCTTAGTTCTTGAAGAGTAGTTTCTGGTCTATCAATGGGAGAAGGAGGATTGTTGGTATGAATATCATTATGGTTACATGAGGAATTTGTACGTGAATGATCAGAATGTGTATCTTGGGAAATTTTCGGTGAAACAATGTTGGTAAATGGATCAACAATATCATTGTTATGTAGAGTAGGAGATTAGAAAAAGAAAATGTGTTCATGAAATAGACTCAATGTCAAAGAGTTTGTATCCTTTGACAGTTGGAGGATAACCAATGAATACAATGCTTTAGCTCTAGGATGGAACTTTGTTCTGTGAGAGGGCAGTGTGGAAGCATAGCAAATGTAGCCAAAAGTTTTGGGATAATCATAGTTTACTTGAGAATTATAAAGACAAACAAATGGGGTTTTATTTTGTAACAAAGGTGATGGTGTTCTATTGATTAAATAGGTGGCTCTGAGGATGCAATCTCCTCAAAACTGGATAGGAACTCTAGATTGGAATAATAAGGCATGTGCAACATTGATAAAATGTTGGTGTTTCCTTTCAACTACAGAGTTTTGCACTGGTCTTTCTACACAAGAGAATTGGTGGATCACTCTCTCTTTATTAAAATAATCTATAAATTTGAGCTCTTGTGCATTATCAGATCTAAAACTCTTGATCACTTTCTGAAATTGAGTCTCTATGAGAGTGAAAAATTTGGGAATAATGAATTCAACATTAGATTTTTGTCTCATCAAATATACCCATGTAAACCTTGTGCAATCATTAACTGAGGTTAGAAAATACTTATGGCCCGCATGTGTGACAGCATTGAAAGGTCCCCAAATATCATAATGAATAAGATCAAATGCAGTAGGAGACATTATTTGACACAAATGAGAGCCTTCTTTGTTTGGCTAAAGGACATATAGAACACAGTGAAGACATATCATTTCTCGTTGTCTCAAACTTCAACAAGTCTTTCAATACATCTAACCTCTTAAAGGACAAGTGTCCAAGTCTATCACTCTATTGTACCAAGTATGGCAAGTTACATGACTACAAACATTTCCAGAAACTTCTGTATTATTTTTTCATAGAACTAAGTGAATTTGCATCTATGACATAGAGATCTCCAGCTCTCCTACCTTTGCCAATCATCTTCAATGTTGGCATCACCTGAATGATACATGTATCAGTAAGAAATCTGATACTCGGGGGATTTTCTGGTTAAAGACCTCACTGACATAAGGTTAAATTTGAACTGAGGTATAAACAGGACGTCTTCAAGTTAAGTCTGGGGATAGCGTCACATTTCCAATGCAATGTACAGGAATTTGTTCATGGTTAGGCAGGTAACATAAGCATTTGGAATATTTCTCAATGTGTTAAATGCATTTTGATTTGAACAAATGTGACTTGTGGCACCTGAATCAACCACCCAAGTCGTAGGTGAATTAAATTGTGAGTTGATCGAGATTGAAAAAAAAGTACCTGTCTCTGATCATAACCGATTTCATGCTTCATATCAGCCTTTGCAACATTGAGATGATTGTTTAACATGCTCACCAATTGTTAATACTGGACATGGTTTAGAGTCTGCACAAAACTTCCAACCTCATTTTGTGCTTGACCTGGTGAATGGATCTGCTCAGATATCATTCCAACAACTGCACAGTTGGCTTGATTGCTTGGACTAGCTAGATTGTTAGTACCTTTAGATCTCTGCCTAGGTTTATACCCTGGGCAAAACCATGCAACTTGTAGCATTTGTCCACAACATGACCTGAGTATCCACATTAACTGCAAACTGGCCTTTCTTTCTTTTGAACTTTACTAAACGGTTGTGCTGCATTTGGCTTCCTAGCCTCAATTCTTAACATGAAAAGCCATAGATTCGTTGATGCCAGAAGAATCAATATTCACATTAATCTTCATTTAGTTCTCCTCTTGCACAACTAGCGCAAAAACTTTATTAATTGAGGAGATTGGGTCCATCAACAGCAATTGCCCTCTAATTTGAGCAAATGACTCATGTAATCCCATTAGGAAAGACATTATGTACTCCATCTGATAGTGTCAGCAATCTTCTTGTTTTCTCCACACACACATTTACCACATGAACATGAAGGCCTGTAATTACCGAGCTCCGCCCAGACGATTTTCAGTTTGGTAAAATACGTGCTAACAGATGACAGTCCCTCTGTTAGATTCATCAGTTCACGCCTCAATTGAAAAATGCGTGGACTGTTCTTTTGTTGATACCTTTTCTTGAGGTCCATCTAGATGTCATGATCTGAATCTGAATGCATCACACTTGTTGATATCTCCTTTGATAGAGAATTCAAAATCCAGGAAATCACCATATTGTTGTTGTGAATCCATGAACTGAGCATATCCTCAGACTTATCTGGCTTCGCAATAGATCCATCAACAAAACCTAATTTGTTCTTCACCGACAAAGCTATAACCATGGCACGACTCCAAGAATGCATAATTGTCTCCTGTCAGGGTTTGTGAAACAAGTACCAGACCGGGGCTATCTGAGTGGTGAAGAAAATATGGATTTGATCCATCATCAGTTGCAGAACTACTAGCTGATGATGTCGAAATTTGTGTCACCATCTATTGATGAACTCAAAATCAGAAATTGCGGAGGGAAGATGAAATCTGCTCTGATGCCATATTGGAGATGAAAGAATATCTCGTATTGATGAAAAGTGAAGAAATGATACAATTTGTCCATAAAGATACAGAGAGATCTAACTAACTATTACAGCTGGAATCTATACATTTCGGCGCCAAAATTAGTTACAGTTACATCAGTTATGCTGAGCTGAATGTTATATATTATCGACCAATTTGATTTGGTTACTAAAGACTTCATCGACGGTGAATTTGCAACCACAAGTTTTTGGTATCTGAAGATCTTTATCGACCTATCCGATTGGTTGCTGGAGACAGTTTTTTTGTAGGGTTTTAGGACCTAAATCAAGTATTTCTCGATATATATTTGAAGATATGATGATATAATATTTAATTTGTTATTTATTTATTTAGTATTAAATTATTGTTAAATGAGTCACATGATGAAAGAAAATTTAAAGGAATATTTTAGGTATTACAACTATTATTTATTCTTAAATTTGAAAGAAGTATTATAAAGGGAAGTATGCTTTATTTAAAAACATCAAAACTAGTGAGGCTTGTGTAATTATTGAAAAGAGATGAGGCGTCTCTTAAATTATTAGCAACCTTATGAAAGGTCTATGTAATAGCTAAATCTTGTAGTGAAAAATATTATTTTTTCAAAAACAAATCATTCACGTTACGATTGCCAGAATTGATGCAGTTAACATTGTAAAGTCCTTTAGGAGGAACTTTTGCGTGTAAAGTGCCTGATTTTTTTTTCTCTTTTCTAATAGAAAAAGTTAAATTTAGTTTTATCAGTATTTTCAGGGTTTTTATTTTAGAAAATATTATTATCTAAAGCCTCCGTTTAAGATCTATTGTTAGCAACTGTTCAGGAACTTTTTAGTGTAATAGTTGTGGTGATTATCAAATGTGTGAATAATAATGGGTAGCAATTTTAAACCCTGAAGGGTAGCTCAGTGATCAGATTTTGGGTTTGCTCCCCAATGGTCATCAGTTCGAGTCCCCTTAGGACCACTGAGGTGAGTATCCGACTGTAAATTTCAGGGTCCTATAGAATTAGTCGAGGTGCGTGTAAGTTGAACCGAACACCCATGGTTATTAAAAAAAAATGGGTAGCATGTTTAAATGTCTTCTTTAAGTTAAAGTTTGACTTTGATTCAGATACTAGAAGTAACTCCGAAGTTACTAATAATGTTCCCTGAACAAAGGCTAAATATATCTATTTTTTTAACTTAAAATTTTATTTTTTTGGTTTTGTGAATGTACTATTGTTTATCTATAATATAATTTATCCAGAAAAAAATTTGCTTTAGGAATTTTCCTATTGTTTATTCTATTTTAAAATTTCGTTGGTTACTAGTTGGATGAGGAATCCAAAATGGATGAATTTCATGCATATCTTAATTATTAAAAATTTAATCATTAGAGTGGTCAAACTAATAAATACATGTTGTACTAATATAGATACTCAGAAGAGAAAAAAAAAATAATAATGATTATGGATTGGTGAGAGGAAGCATTTGTCTTTTTCAAATTTTCCTTCGTTTTAAATATGGTAGCATTCACAGGCTGTTCTCTAAGTTCTCCATTCGGTGCAGATATTTTACATTGCATTTTATGAGACATGAATATGAATAGATGTAGAGTAAAAGCAGTATAATGAATTTCTTGTAACTATTGGCGTAAATCTTGACAAGCATGACAGTTGTCCTACTAACGTGATCATATCCATTGTGATAAATATGTCTCCTAGTGGTGTTTTTGTCCGATTATCAAAGAAACCACTTGAGTAAATGACACGATCAGTCCCGAATCAATTTAATGGACTCGACACGTGTTGCGCGCCAATTGTAGATACCAACTAAACGCCGGATCTATCACCAAGGCAATTTTGATTTGCTTGACTAAAAAATATTTTTAACATAATTTTGACAAAGTTTCTCCTTAAATACGAACTAAAATCACCTAAACAATTAACAATTTTTCTCAAATCAGTACCTATAATACAAATCAGGGTACGCTAATCCCTCAAAATACAAACTATATAAATAAAATGCTAGCAAATCAATATTTACTTGCTTTACAACTAACAATCCTCAAATATACTTAAAATACTAAACATTTAATGACTCTATAATGAACTTTTCTGATTTAAGCTACATGTATCCCAAAAGAACACATAATGTTAATTTGATAAATGATGTCATACAACCTATGACGCATGGCTCAATTCAGTGGTTAAATAGGCTCCAAAGCTGTTCAATTCGGCTGCTTTCTATCTGATAAAGAAAAAAGTGAAGCAATATATGAGCTTAAAGCTCAGTAAGTGGATAATTTGCAAATAAGTAAACTTTTCTCATTTATGCATATCGTGTGAAAATTCTTACTCTATTAAAACTTTGAGAAATTCTGAAAACTAGCAACACTTTTAAAACTAAGAATGATTGCATCATAAAATTCTTTGCTCTTTATTCTTGTGCAATAACTGTAAAATATAACGAACATAAATAATCCGACATCCATGAAAATCTATGAAATACTGATGTTGCTCAATACTATAAGTTGAAAACTTAATTTTGAGAACTGAATAAACTGAATTCTATAATCTGAAATCTGATAAGTCGTAGAAATACTGAAAAATCACACCAAAAAGTATCCAACCAATTGTCTTGATTGTGGAATATCATTGAGAAAGAGGAATTCGTGTTATCAAAGAATTTTCTGCAATTATTTCTATTAGTAGCTTACTCATGTACAGAGTAATCTCGATGTACAAGACAAAGCCATTCAAATCTAATAATCTGGTCATACGTACGTAGAGTTGCTCCAAAGGCTAATCACCCTAGTAAACGATCCAAAACCTATGTGTGTACGAGAGTGGGTCCCAAAGATTTCTGATAATCTGATCATACACTATGGAAACATATTCACCATAGTGCAGAGCGGCTAAAATTATCATAACTAGTCATACATTGTGGAAACACATTCACACCAGTGCAGACTATGGTAAAATCACTTGGGTACTTTCTGGTGATTTCTAGAAATAACTTTAGCTTTACTGAAACGTGTAATACTGATGGAACGTGCTATTGAAATGATTTAATTAAATTGGATTTAAATTTAAAAACAACTGATTATAAATCCACTTTATTCTAAAAATCATGCTATCAAATCAACTATTTGAAATAATAAATTTTATAATCTAACATAAATTTAATAAATAATTAATTTCTAAAAAATAAGTTTTATATCCACTCACCAAGTCATAGTCGATCATGATTTCAATCTTCTCTTCACTGCTTCAACTTCAAATATCAAGTATGATATTACGCAATCGCTCGAGTAAATCATATCCCCTTACAAAGGTGCCTTGAGTATTTTCTTACCATTTGAAATATTAATTTACCTATGGAAACTTGCTATACTTTATTTTCAACATCATAATCCCAATTAAGGTCACTAACAATATATACTCCTTTATATAAATTATTTTAACACCAAAACTCCAAATATTTAACACTTAATTTGGTTCCAATACTAAAAATTCATGAAAATTAGATGATTGACAAAACTAGCACTATAATTTTAGAATATTGAAAACTAGCACCAATGTCATATTGTAATCTGTTATCGAAAACATTGACAAAGTAGCACTTTTCTGGACAGGATTTCAAAAACAGTACCTGTGTAGGACTTTGTCCAAAAATTGCTTATAATTATTACTTAAAAATAGTGAAATCAAACCCAATTCCTTAATTTAAGTTATTAACATCATATAATCCCAAGAAAATCAAAGAATAAGTATCTATTTCATAAACGCAATTTCAAAGTACCCCTCTTTTCTTTTCTTTTTTCCAACACCAATCATTCAATATATATTTCTGTAACATATTCATGTTTAATACCTCAAATAAATTTCAATAACCTCTAATTTTAGCTAACTTCGAATATAACCAAATTTTCCATAAACCCTAAAAGAAAACTTAATTCAATATACTTACACTTACCTCTCTAAATCAAATGAAAAATTGAAGAAATGGAGCACCCAAGAATTGAAAGCCCACTTCTTCTTTTTCTTTTCCTCTTTCTTTTCTTCTCTTCTTTCTCTTCTTTCCCATTTTTTTTTCCTTCTTTCTCGATTCTTCTCGACTTCCTTCCCCGGTTGCTAGTGTGTGTGTGTTTGTGTTTTAATTGTGAAATGGGTTTATCATTTGCCACTTGTAGCGCACTTACCAACATTTTGCAAAGAAAGTCCTCCAACATTTCTATAATAAAACATTAAATTCTCAACTTCCAACAATATATAAGTAGATCCCCACACTTTGATTTTATCCATCTAAAACCTTCAAATATTTTTCATAATAAAATAAACCCAATAAAATAATTTGGTCAATTCATGTCCCAATAAAATGATTTGTTTCACTTTAGTTCTTATTTGACTTAGACTTTGACAAGTCAACCTTTGACTTTTGACTTATTTGAATGAGTTGTTACAGTAAATACTTTTCCTATTTGTTGTGTAGTTACAGGGAAATGATAGCCTTTAATTGATTACTTCCATGCTTAAAGCTAACTATAAATGACTGGATTTGTGCTCTTGAATATAATTTTTACTTGTAGATGGCGCTTTAAGGAACTAAGGGTGCATTTGCACACATTTTCCACCTAATTTCCTATTTTTGTCTTTTTTGATTGACAATTTCTTCCAAGGAAAATATTTTCCTTCTTTTGGTCACGTGACCACATTTTCCTTGAAAACAAGGAAAATATTTTCGTTGGGGGAAGGTGGATTTTATTTTCCATGGAATTTAACCTTTCCAAAAATCCTAGGTAACCAACCACGTAAATATCTCTCTCTCATCTCTACCCACGTACAAACACTACCGTCTCTCTCATCAATTCAACAGAACCAGGCAAAGGTCTCTTTCATCGATTCAACCGAATCAGGAAGATCTTTTTTGCTTCCAGCTCTGCCTCCGGGGAAAACAAGGAAAAAGAAATCGACTTCCCAGGAAGATCTTCTCTGCTTCCAGCTCTGCCTCCAGGGAAAACCAGGAAGAAGAAATCGACGACCCTTTGACCCTTCCAACTCTGCCTCAGGGGAAATCACTGCAAAAGGTTGGCATCGAGGCTGTGATTGCATAGATTGAGGTTAGTTTAACAATCAAACCACCATATTTGATTTCTATATGTTTAATTCTTAATTAAACTGAGTACAAAGCAATTTTTTTAATCAATCTTGTCGATTCTCTTTGTTTAAAAATTAGGGTTCGTTTTTCCATGGGCTCCTCATTATTTCAAGTTGCAAATTTCAATTTTGTTTTTGTTTTTCTTGATTTTGAGATTCCACGTGATTGGATGCGAAATGGACCACGGATTCCAGAATTTTTCTCATCTGTAATGACCCCCAATTCTATTTCTGTGATGTATAAGTAATTATTTATCAAGAAATTATTCCAGTAATACTTTAAATCACAGGATACAAGCTGCAAATAAACTAAGATAACATAGGAAAATTGGTGCAGTCTCCTTTTATTACATTTATTTCCAGCATAAATAGCTCCATCCATCTTAATTTGAATGGATTCAGCAATGTACCCTCTCTTTCTTTGCCCAGTTTTGATCAATATGAAAGAATGATTTCTCCATTGACTTATCTTAAGTAGCTCCGATCAGGTTTCAAAAGTTGGCCTTGAAAGAGTATGTATGCAGCCGTTTGAATGGATTCAAATTGGTACTACACATTGAAACAGTGGTTCTGCACACAAAAATGTTTTCTATTGTGAAAAATGCGTTCCAATCATGTTTTGCGCTTTGGAACTGTAGAGCTCAAGTTTTGGATTTACTCGACCATTTTTAATTATTAAATGTGTGCTTAAGAGTTACAAAGCTTGACTTGTAATCTAACCATGTTTTGCTCTTTGGAACATTGCTAACTGTGCTACTAAAAAATGACCTTTCCATTTTCCCAAGTTGGTACAAACTTGAACTATAACTTGATTGCAGAAATTTCTGGAATTATCATGCTGCCTCATTTTCTGTAATTGGATAAATTAAAGGTCATAACTTTGGCAATCTACTAGTAGACGCGATTATTGGGGTCTAAGGCACTATATTTTGAAGCTATCCTAGTATGACAGGACATTCTACATTCAAATGGTGCTCTTGTTGCTGTAAGATAATATCCTTGGGTGGTTTGCTTCAACTATCCCAATCATTATAAATGATAGCTTGCTAACAAGCATCTTGACTAATCTGCAGATCCTTCTAGTAGCATCTAATGTGAGATTTAATGGTATATGTAGGTACTTGAAATATTAGATTGTTATGATCTGCTTTGCTTGTGAGAAGATATTCTTTTTGTCACGTCTTCTGAAAGTTGAGATATTATTTGTACGATGTAGGTCATATAAACATTTGAGTTCTTTGTCGATACATTTGTTGTTTCCTGTGGAGATATTACTGCATAGTTTCTGTGTGAATTTGTGTACTAACAACCTCATGTAGGTCAAGACTTGCTTTTTGGTGAGTTTCAATAGGTTCAGGCATAGTTTTGCTTTTGTTTGTTATGAAATCATTTATCTTAAAAGTCCTGATTTTCAAATGCATCATGAGTGCGGCTATTGAACTAAATCCCACAATAAATAATTCCTTTTCAGGTGTTTTATAAATAGTCAATGAATTTGGTGAAATGGAAAAAAAATTCAAACATCAGTGTCATTGTCTTATCAACCGATCTTCATCCAAATTAAGCAACTGTTGTTTACAGTTACGATCTCTCAAGAGCTCGTTCTTCAAAATATTCTTGTGTCGCAAATACCAACCGATTGATTTCTAGAAAAACAACAAATAGCCGACTCTAAAAAGTTCCTAGTTTGTTGATCTCTTTCGTATCAGTTTTCTTCATAGATTTTGAATGGGGTTGATAAAATTTCCTTGTAAAGATTCGGAGGTATTGTTGTTTATATATATATATATATATTATTTGGCCAATCTGTCGATACATTTGCTGTTTCCTGTGAATTTGTGTACTACCCTACTATTATGATGTAGCTACAGTTAACTTTTTATTCTATAATGCTTTTATGTTATTCTTTCTAAACAAATTTTTATTGAATTTTTATTTACCGTGATAGTTTATAACATGGCTACAACAACGAATCAACATCGATGCCGATGACAACATTTAGGTTTATTTTGGACGATGGTCATGCAAGCGATTGTGATATATAATGAACTTAGGCGTCGTGCACGACATCTTCCAAGAGCTCCTCATACAAATTGGAATTCTGAAAGAGAAATAACACTTACACGAATGTTTGGCACGAGTGATACAATATGTCGTGATCTCCTTAGGATGAAAATAGGTCAATTTCAAAGATTATGTTCTCGTTTGCGAACTTATGGATTGGTTGACAGTAAATACGTTCGAATTGAGGAACACATCGCAATTTTTTTGAATATAGTCGGGCATGACCAACGTAATCGCGCTGGACGTTTTACTTTCTTTCGCTCTGGTCAAACAGTGAGCTTTTACTTTCACAGAGTCTTACACGCTTGTCTTGGACTGTATAGAGATGTTGTGATTAATGTCACTCCTCATAACTCACCATACGAAAAAGAAAATGTGCAGCCATGGTACTCCTTTTTTAAGGTTAGGGGTTTGTACTTATTTCATCATATTTCTTAAAACTTCAATATACACATTTATTTTGAAAAGTATTCTTTTTTAAAGGATGCCGTAGGAGCAATCGATGGTACACATATTGCTACGTATGTGCCTTTAGAGGAGCAAGGTAAATATCGCAATAGAAAGCAAGTGATTTTCCAAAATATTTTAGTAGGTTGCACATTTGATATGAAATTTACGTACGTTCTTGCCGGTTGGGAAGGATCCGCACATGATGGTCGATTGTTACGGAGTGCAATATTACGCCAATGACATAAGCTAACAATTCCTGTTGGTAAGTTGTGTCATTATTTTGAAAACATTTCTTCCACACATAAGTAATAATAATTACCTAATTACCATCTTATGAACGACTCTTTTCTAGGTAAATATTATCTTGTTGATGCTGGCTTCCCATCGGTTTCGGGTTTTCTTGCACCATACCGTAGGACCCGTTATCATCGTAGAGACATTGAAGGTCAACATCCTGAAAGTAGTAATGAGTTGTTCAATTTTCGACATTCATCTCTACGTAATGTTATTGAGTGTACAATTGGTTTGTCGAAAAAAGATTTGCATATTTGAGACATCAACCCTATCACGACACTGACACATAAGCAAAGATAGTCCTTGCCTGTTCTGCCATCCACAACTTCTTGAGGATCGATGACGTTGAAGATGTTTGTGAGGAGGACGACTTAGATAGTAGTGATGATGAGGTTAACCCTACGCATGTTGATGTACCTGAAGATGAAACTCTAAATGCTCACATATCTTTCACAAATCAGGAAGTATGGTCTAATAAGAAGAATGCGATTGCTGATTTAATGTGGGCTGATTATCTTCCTAATCGTAATGCGGGAATTGATTTTGATTGAAATTTGATTTTTTTTTTCATTTTTATGTAATGAATATAAACTTACTAGACTTTCATTTGTAGTAATTGCTTGAATTGAAGACATAAGCTTATGTTTTTTTTTTCATGTCCTATAATAGTTGACATAAGCTTGCTAGAATTTTAAATATTGTAATTAGAATTGCTGTTATTGGAGATAAATTGTTGACGTGCAATTTTCCTAAATGTTCTTATTTATTGCTTGACCATAAACAGTTAATCTTGCACTATAGAATTCATGGCAAATATTCGACAAAGCTCTACGGCACCTTTTCGAGTTCCTAGACCAACCCTCCATTCAGATGTGGAAGAAATAAGCTCCACCCAAGCGGATCCTAATTCTAGGAATCCTCAAATATGTTGGAGTGATGCAATGGATGGTTATATGATAATTGCACTACTACATCGAGTGTTGTCTAGTCACAAAAGAAGTGACAATGGCTTTTCATCATATCACGTGTCCAAAGCAATCGAGAGTGTGCACAATGGATGCGGAGTCGTGGTGTCTGATAAGAATGTGAGGGCGCGATTGAAAACTCTGAAAAAAGAATATGTTGAAGTTCGTTAGTTGTTAAGTATGAGTGGTTTTGGGTTAGATCCTCACACTAGACGTGTCACAGCCGATGTACTAGCTTGGGAGGAGTTGTTGAAGGTATAAAATTTCATTAACCAACGAAAGTATTATTCCTTAAATATAAGTAATATAATTTATTTTGACCACTGACTAGCATAAAACATATTTAACTCTTTTTCTTGTAGGGCAAACCAGAATTTGGAAAGTGGAGGACCAAACTTTGTTCTCGTTATGATGATTTGGAAGTTATCTTTGGAAATGATTCTACTATAGGAGATCGTGTTGTAACCGACAATGACATTTTATCCCCCGATCATGGTATGTAATAGATCGTACATAAAAATTTATATAATTCGTATTATTCTAACAAATTCTTGTTTTATTATTTTTTTAGATGAAAATGTTCATGAAGTTGATGGTCAAAATGAGAATACAGATCCAAGCCCCATTCGCGCTCCTGATCGTAACGCTGAAGGAGGAACTAACAAAGTTCGCCGTCGACGTACCCAACCTAATGATGAGAGTCTTGTTGCCCTATCAAGCATTGCGGAATCATCTAAAAAAATTGCTAATGCTATGAAAACTCAAACAACATTAGATACGCTAAACCACATCAATTGGCAGTTGATTTTAGAAAAATTACAAGGCATGAGTATAGAAAAGCGTGACATAATGCAAGTAATGAAAATATTTCGATCGGATGAGAGTCTGGCTAGAGTATTTATGAGTTTCACTGATGAAGAATTCATGCGGGATTTAGTATTTGAGAATTTGGGCCGTGATCTGCCTTCACTATTTTAAGATGACTTGCTTGGATAATTCAACAAACATATGTGAAAGTATGACATCTATGTTGATTTTATTTGCTATTTTCTTATGATAGAGATTTTTCGGGTTTTATCATTTTCTCATGATAGAGATTTTTTGGTTTTATGTAATACGTTGGACAAAATTTCATCATTATTTATTGAATTGATTATTTGATTATTATTTTTGATTGGAAAGAAGAATATGTAAGTAGTAGAAATCTGAATTGGTAGGGATAATTATTTCATCTTGACAGTTTTTATGCATTTTTCGTACCGAATCTTGGCATGTTTTTATCCACAAATTAACTGCTATATTTATTAGGATTGATTAAAATTTGGTCGAATTTATGTCTATAATTCATTGACAATTTTTCATGGAAAAAAACCACTATTTTCCATGGAAAAAGTGACAATTTTCATGGAAAATAGTAGTTGTCAAACAGATAAAGTTGGAAAAAATGATTATTTCCATGGAAAATAATGGCTATCAAACACCAAAAGTTGAAAAATTGCAACATTTTCTAGGTTGAAATTTAAGTTAATCAAACACGTGTAATCAACATTTTCCATGTAAATAATTTCCAGCAATTGAATTACCTGAAAAATATTTTCTTTCCATGCAATTTTCCTACTTGCAATCAAACGTACCCTAAATATTATTGAAAGCTTCCACATTGTTAGGGTTCTATTTGAAGGTAAAGTAGGTAAATATATTCAAATTCTACATTTTCACCTGCCTATTTGCGTAAAAATTGTATTCGAGACTGCCAGACAATAGCTCGCTGTTTTAATGCTGAAGTCCTTGCAACCCATAGTTTTGAAAATCTTACTTTGGACTTGGAAAATTCATTTGTGATCTCATTGCAGAAAATTCACGCGTTTTTATGTGCTAAATGTAATCTAGATGAATGTGGCTAAGCACGATGGAAGACTTGTCAAAATATCAAAGTATCTTTCATAACAGATTTTTGAGTTTTATTTAGTGGTGGTTTGTTGTTGTAAAATGGTGGGTGGTCTAGTTATTTAGTTTCCTAGACAACAAAAACCTCTAAGGATGTCTAGTCGGTTGTTTCCATGTTTTATGGAATAGATGTTAGATTGGGATGCTAATAACATGGACGTAGCAGGAATTTGATGTTAAGAAGTACCCACGACCATTCTAGAAGGGAAATGATAAGAGTTGACAATAAAAGCTAGCATGGTTGATTTCCATTGAATTCGCTGTGTGGTGAAAAATTATTCATATTGTCAATGAACAACTTAGAAGAGCTACAAACAATGAACTATTACGGTCACATCATGCATCGAAGTTTTCTTTATGGAGATCATTTGCCTTGTCTGATCATCAAGTGCAGCTGCGAGTCCCCAGCAGCACTGCTTATCATAAGTTCATGGAGGTGAAAGCATTTGAAGTTCTTTGTGACACATCCCGTCCTTAACTCCTTATTAGACTCAAGACGTGAAGTGCGCCAATGATAGGTGCCAGCTAGGCATTAGACCCATCACCAAGGCAAATGTAACTAAACTTTGATAATAAGACTTCATGTGACCAACTAAAATTTCTGAACTCCAATATACCAACATTATAATATCATTCACTCGCCCAGCCAAAAACATCTATATCATTTGCATCATAAATGCCTCTTAAAAGGATAATAGAAGGCAATTTAGATTACAATATTCTGTCGTGATCATTTGTACATAGAAATACAAAAATCCTCCAATATGATGCAAATGTTTCACTCGATGATTACACAGTTTTAAACAAAAGAACCTATAATTGGTGGTTGTAGTGGCTGCAAAGTTATCAAAATAACTTTCACCACAGCTCAGTCAACAGCCTCCTATAAGGGAAAGTTAAGAAAAAAATATGATATAATAATCCTATAAAAAGATGGTTGTATTGTCCTTTATGTATGTATATATAATTATATACAACAAGAGGAGTAACTACATTAGACGATTTCAATAATCTAAAACCATGATCTGAAATCCATAAGCTGAACTATAGAAGGGGAAATGTAAGCTGAAGGCTAATAATCCACTATATATTTCAAATTCACATCAAAACATACCCCATGTAAACATCTATTAATGATCTGAAAGCTATAAAATTATATGCACATAAAGTGTCTGATCAATACTCTGTACATAGTTGTAGCTCCTCAGTGCACAAGATAGAAACAACATAATCATCGTTATACACAACTGTAGCCCCTCAGTGTATAATAGGTGCCCTAACCCACGGTCGTAGCTCCTCAGTGGATAAGTGTTACCCTCACACAAAACTATAGCCCATCAGTGTATAGGAGTTAAATACATGACTCTAGTACACGGTCGTAGCCCCTCAGTGCACTAGCGTAAGATAATTACATCAATTATTTTCTAACAATTTCAAAACAATCATACTCATTTACTGATTCTCGAAAATAAGACATTTCATGTAATTAATATGCTTCTATACAATAAAATAAAAAAAAATCTTTTTTTTTTCAAAACGTGGATTCTCCCTCACAGATAAAGCTGGACTAACGGGGCTGGTATACTGTTCTCACATCCAAATCTCCTCCTGAAATGATCATACATATAAGCCACTTCAATTCCATCCATATACAGTTACAAGGGGTTTCTCAATAACAACCCCTACTTATCATCAAAATGAAATATATATCCCCTCAATAAGCAATAAGTTGAGACTTAATATTTCTATTTCATTTGGTTACTTAAACATACGTTCACTTAATTTTTGAATCACTCTACATCCCTAACTCTAGATAGTAACCTTTTCCGGCTACCCCGTCAAGATTCAACAAGCTTTTCATGATAATAATCATCCACATTCCTTAAATTCTCTTTTAACTAAATACATAAATCTTATCAAAAACTCCTTTCTTATATTCTCCATATTCATCCAAACTGAGAATTCAAGCACAAGATAAGTTATTTTTAACCAATCTAACTTAATACCATACAACAATCACAAGGGAATATAACAAGAAAGCTAGTTTTTCCCCAAATTTTCGGATTGACCCACATAAAACAAAACCCTAATATCTAAATATCATTTCTTTCAATCCACTAGAATAAATAGCTCAAAATACTCAAATAGTTAGCTTCCTTATCATATTTTTCAAGTATAAGCTATAAATTTGAAACCCTAAAAAGAATTTACCAGAACTAAACCATAAATTTTTAACCTTACCTCTTGAAGAATTAAATGAACAAGATTGAAGTAGTTGGCACAAGATTTCTTCTTTCTTCTTCCTTTTTCTTCTCTTTTTCCTTCCTTTCTTTTTATTTTCTTCCCTTTTTTCCTTGGTTTTTCCCTCTTCTCCGCATTCTCTCTTACACACAATAGATTCTAGTGTTTGTTTGTGGGTGATTTGAGAGAAAAATATGGTCAAAGGTTGAATATGAAGGCCCACTTTTTCAAAATTGCAAAGGAAGGTCCCTCTTGTTTAATAGATATAACATTTAAATCCTGAACTTCCAAAAATATATAAGTAAATTTTCAATTTTAAATTGTATCCAATTTAACCCTCATATATTGCCAATTATAAAATAAACCCCAATAAAATATTTAATTTCAGTTTAGTCCTT